ATGGGCGAGTTCTTCTTCAACATCGACCACGGCTACCTTGAGGCCCTGATTCGCGGGTTCAAGGTATTTTCCCCTTCATTTCCCTCCAATAATTTTTATTTAGGGAGGAATCCTCACCCAGTCGGATTACGCCAATCTCGTCCAATGCGAGACGCTAGAAGGTAGAGCTCACCCTAGTGATTCTAATTTTATTTTTGTTTAGATCTCAAGCTCCACATCCAGTCGACCGACTATGGAAACTTTTTGGCTAACGAGCCCGGAGCGATCACGGTAGGATTTTCAAATCTAATAGTAGTAATTTTTTTAGGTGGGAGTTATCGACGAGCGATTAAAGGAGAAGCTGGTCACGGAATTTACGCATCTACGCAACAATGCGCTCGAGCCGCTCGCCACATTCTTGGATTATATTACGTGAGTAGATCAGGATGTTTTATTTCGAATACGTAAATAGAAAATGCTTCGTTTCGAGCTAGTTTAGATGAGAGATAAGAAATTGTTTTTCAGATACGCCTACATGATTGACAACATTGTTCTACTTATTACCGGCACTTTGCACCAGCGACCGATCGCCGAATTGATCTCGAAGTGCCACCCGCTCGGCTCGTTCGAGCAAATGGAGGCCATCCACATTGCATCAACCCCGGCCGAGCTGTACAATGCTGTCCTCGTCGATACCCCGCTTGGTAGGCATAAATTTTTAATTTCGAGCAAGATCAAGCCGTTTTTAAAACGACGTTTTTATGCTGTTTTTTTCAGCCAACTACTTCGTTGACTGCATCAACGAGCAAGACCTGGACGAGATGAATGTCGAGATCATCCGCAACACCCTCTACAAGGCCTACATCGAAGACTTCTACAAATTCTGCGAAAACCTTGGCGGCAAGACGGCCGAAGTTATGTGCGAGATTTTGGCGGTACGTTTTTATTACCGCTCCATATTCCCTTTCTTGCAGTTTGAAGCCGATCGCCGTGCCATCATCATCACCATCAACTCCTTTGACACCGAGCTGAGCAAGGACGACAGAGAGAAGCTCTACCCGCGATGCGGCAAGCTTTACCCAGAGGGTGAGTTGATTCGGGTGTCTTTTGATGATCACCGTATTCAGGGTTGGTTGGACTTGCCCGTGCCGACGACTACGAGCAGGTCAAGCAGGTGTGCGAGTGGTATGGAGATTACAAGGTGCGCTCAGAATTAAGGGTTTTATAAAAATAATTATTCAGGCCCTTTTCGAAGGCACTGGACCAAATCCGGGTGACAAGACGCTTGAGGACAAATTCTTCGAGCACGAGGTCAAGCTGAATGTCCACTCCTACCTCCATCAATTCCACTTTGGCGTCTTCTACGCGTTCATCAAGGTTTGTAATTTAAGACGCATATTTGAATCGTGAAAACCTGTTTTGATTTTTTTCTTTTATTGAAAATCCCATTTTCCAGTTGAAAGAACAAGAAATGCGCAACGTCATCTGGATCGCCGAGTGCATCTCGCAACGGCATCGATCAAAGATTGACAACTACATCCCAATCCTGTAAGCCGTTTCCGGTCAGGCCTTTCTGTAAGAGATTCCCTAACTTATGCCCCCTTCATTTCATCGTCCCTATCTTAATCGACAGTGCTCATAAGCTACTGCATGCCGTGCCCTCTTCTTCCACTGCTAGTCAGCAGAATTCTATTGCTGTAGAAGATGGTTTGCCCTATTCCCTCCTCTATCGGTGTGAAATTGTGATTGCATATGCGCCACTCGCCCCCCATTCCAGCCCGCCAATCCTGTACGTTTTTTCGAGTGTCTATTCTTTTTCTGTGCATCTGCCCGCCGCTCTCTTTTCCTCTCTCTTCTCTAGTTGTGCACATTGTACGAGTTGTACGCTTCTCCTAAACATTGCCCAGCATCCCTCTAGGTCTTATAGCTCTGTAGCTGAACATTCGAGAACTTGTCAATAAATTTTATGCTATCAGACAACGAAACGTTTCAACAAACGAGCACTATTCAAAACTGAACTACAGGAATGTGAGCCGCCTACTGGTTTCGCACCATGTCGGGCTTGGGGTGATAGAAAAGTTGGGCGTGGTTGATAGCTTCTGTGAATTGGCCGACGAGTGGCATCTTGTACTCCCCGACGACGTTTTCAGTGACCTTGCCCTCGAGGATGAGAAGATCCTTCATGCGCTTCTCGATTTCTTGACGCTCCTTTTCCAGCTTCTCCCGCTTCGCCTTCATCTCATCCTTTTTCTCTTCGAGCTCCTTGATATACCTGGAAAATACACAGATTCCTAATCCACTACTATTTTTACCTTTGATGGAGATCTTCAAGCTTTTTCTCTTTTTCTTCTTTCACCCGCATCAATAATTGAGCCTCTGACCACGCCTAAATTAAAGAGAAAATTAGAGTGCTTATTTAGAAACAAACCTTCCGGGTTTTGACATGCTCAGGCTGTTTCTGGACGTGATAGGCGATTTTCAATTCTTTGATGACCTGAAACAAAATGAGAGAGAAGAATTAATTCTACCTTCTGGAAAGCCTCTTCATCAATTTCGCGGAGCTCCCTGAGTAACCGACGTCGTTGCCCGATCACCAGCCAAATACGATGCGTCAACCACGTTGGTTTCTAAAGAAAAATTATTGCCAAAGAACGCAGCGTACCCGTGGCCTGACGTTTTTGCGGAAAATATCGTCAACGATCATGGACCAGTGGCGGATCAGGGCCGTGCATAGAGCAACTGAAAAAACGTTTGGAATTTTCTAGAATTCTCACTCTTCTTCTCATGACTCGCGTTGTCGAGGGCATGGTGATTGACCTGCTCGATCATCACGCGCTTCCACTCGCTCGTCAAATCCCGGCGAGTACCAAAATCGAGACTGAATGAACAAAACGTCGTAAAAAATACCTAAAAAATTACGCACCTAAAGATCTTTTTCACACTTTCCGGTGCGTCCTTCAGAGCGTCAACATTTGTGTATGGAGGCCTGGGCGCCGTCATATCGAGCTGAGGCAGCCCATAAGTAACTTTGTCGGCAATCTAAAACTTGAGGCTTCAGCGCCTTTATTGCAAGATACCAGATTGTCCGAAGCCTTCATCGTCAGATCTCGCTCGGACATCACCTTGTCCGTGTAAATCATTTTCAACTGATCGATGTAGTTGTCATCTAAACAAAAATGGCACAATGACTATTATCAAGTATAAATCAGATTACGCTCAAAAATCGACCCACCTAGCGGCAACTTTCTGGCCAGATCCTCGAAATAGTTGGGGTCTTGTTTGGCCGGGTCGGTCACCTAAATATAAATAAAGAAAAAGCCGAAAAACGAAACCAATTTGTGCTTCTCGAAATAGGTGTTTCGCCCTCTTGCCAGGGTGGCAGATATGTGTATCGTCCTCCTGGCAGCGGTATTCATCACCTAAAAACAAGAAAATATATTGAAACCCGTTCTAAATTAAATTATTTGGGTAAAAAGAGTGCAGCATTTTTCGGCTTCATCTCGTAGGCAACGCAACGCTCCTATCGGCACCAATTTTCTAGCATCATCGGTCCCGTGGAAAACCGAAAAGACTTGTGATGAAATTTGTTTAGAAAAGTCGAACTTTGCAAGCAAAATGACTACTTTTGATTGATTCAAGGAAGCCCAGTCTAACCTTCCATATAACTTTTTTTTAGATGGAATCCTTCGAACATCATCGAATCGACCTAGAAAGACTCCTAGAAAAGACCTCCGCTTCTGGAATTGACATCGAAGAGATCCAAAACGCGAGTAGGTAACCTTTAATTGTCTTTTAAATATGGTCATAGATTTTGTCGTTTCCTGGGCACGCAAGAGGACAGCAATGCCTTCTTTGATTCGCCCTCAACGTCGGATAAGGTCTGAGAGGAAGATTTTTGTCGTACTAAAGTCTTTTCAGGTAATATCGGGCTTCCAGCAGAGATTGTTTGATGTTGCGGTGTCGGTAAGCAGCAATTTTCAATAGATAAACCAATCTCAGGGCTTTGAAGACGGCGATACGCGAGCACCGGACCTCAGACGTTCGGCCAGTGCGCTCCGGCTACTGTACAATGCTGGAAATCTGAGCACAAGGTCGTTTTATTTTATTTCAGTGAAATTACAACTTTTTAGATTGAAACAAACACTGCCCCAAGATTGTCTACGATTATTTCGTGCTCTACTCCGAATAAAAGAGCTGCGCCCGGAAGTGATAGCTGTGATTTTTCAACTTTCCGAAAAGCTATATACAGGTATAGAGAATTTGATAGTCTATAAAAATAGGTTTTTAGTCCATGCACTAGACGACGAGTACAACAAATTATTGGGCGAGCTTGTGTTACTGTGGGAAAAGGACGGGAACGAACGGTATTGTTTACCATCCAACATTTCAAGCTTCTTCTTAGCCAGTGGATCGATGCGTTGTTGATGACTCGTTTGGATGATGACGGGGCTTTTCTTGCGCACGCTTTCGCCGGTTTGGTCGCAATTCATAAGCATTATCTTGGGTTTTAGATTTCGAACCCGCCCATTTCCTGGCCCTTCTAAATGTTACTGACGTTTTTCTGGAGGCAAAGCTCGAGGTGATCGGCTTTTTGGAAGATTTTTATTTTTTAGGTGCACAACAACAACATCCAATTCGTCAGCGATCTGATTTTGCGAATATTCTTTGATTTCGAGAACGAAGAGCTGCAGAAAATTCGACTTGATTTTTATTTGGAGAGTTTGCTCCCCGGAAATGCCAAAGCACCGATTTCAGTCATTTCTTGCGCGTTTTTCGTAAACCTTATCAAAATCTCAAAAACTTGTGGATCAAGTGTATCTGTGGAGCTGGCCGGGCAGATGATGGGGAAATTGTTTGTGTACCAGTAGGTGAGGCGGCGTCTTTTTGAGAGGCTTCGGCACTCATTACATCTCCTTCTCCCCTCTTCGGCTTCTTCTCATCAGTCGGCTGGACGAACATTTGCTACAACATACAAACCGGCCAGGCTATTTCCAATCCCGTCATTTCAAGATGGGGGCACGATTTTGAACAGTTTATCGGGGTTTAAAAAACCATGTGTTTAGCTGGGACTGTTCCGTTAACGGGGGGATAACGGGGACTAGCTTTTTTAATGTTCCAGTAGGCAGCCTGTCATGAAATAAAAGATTTTTAAGAGCATTTTACGCTCTGTGTAGGTATAAAAAGTAGATAAAAAATTCAAATTGGCGAAAACTTGAGATTTTGGGGTATTTCCGCGTAATTAAAATAACTTTTCTACATCCTTTTTACCTATTTCTCTTTTAAATTCACTATTATTCGCTTTTAAGCCTCTTTTCAGTTTTTTTTAATGCATTCGATCATCGTGAACCAGAGCTGCGCCTCCCTTGATCGAATCGGTAGCGCGAGCTCGAGGTAAGGAATCACGAAAGATAAAGCTTAAAAATTTTGGAAGTTTAGAAAGCAATAAAAGAAAGAAAAAGTTTAGAGCCTCAAGAGCCCGCTTTTCCGCCAGATCACATGCAGCTGACGATGTAGAATTGGGACTGTCTTTTAGGCCTTCCCGAATTGACGCATTCACCGATCGCCCGGTCATTGATGAGGTAAATTCTCCGCTAAAAACGGCTTAAAAATTTTTAGAATTCATTTGCTGATAGCGATACACCGGCCACGAGTCGTTCCTCTTTACAAGCTGATAAATTAGAAGTGGAGGTAACCTTTAGTCTATTGATTTTAGAAACCAGTTTTACAGGCAGACGACGGCCGAGATAGCGGCATCCAAGTGGAATTCGAGGATGTCCAACATTTTCGAGTATTCATCGAAAAGGTTATGGATTTATTGGATTTTTATAGGGTCTCAAACGCCTCAACAAACGGCCACCACCCTTTTCGATCGAAGCCCATACAACGAAATACATCCCGCGTGGTAGTGTCAAAGTAACGCCAAAAACCCCGAATCCCGTAAGTATCAATTACTTTAAAAAAACTGAAAAACAGGAACGATGGCCCTCCGCTTTTTATTTCCCCGACGAGGACTCTGCGGCCGTTTTGAAAGATGAGGAATTAGTCGAAGAGCGTGAGTTCTTGAAAAAGGGCCTAGTAACAAAATAGCCAGTTTTTAATAGTGTTTATAGTAAAGTGTAGCCATATTAGTGAAAAGCCATCTCAAAAAAACTTAGAAAATGGTTAAAAAATCTCAAATTTTGGTTGAAAACTGTCATTTTTGATCGAAAAGTATAGATTTTTGTATTTAGCAATAAAATTTTGTAAAAGCTTGGGAACGTTCAAAGCCATTGCTCTTTTTATTTTAAAAAATTCGATCATAAGTACGTTGCCACCCTGATAATACAAAAGCACCTGGAAAAAACATACCAAGTTACTGTACCCTGTTATGTAGATTTTGAGGGCGATATTAACAATACAGACACCTTCAACGCCCCTTTAGCTCGCTTCCAACTTTCGAAAAACTGTCTGGTGATGTTTCTGCTATTCCTCGTGATATTTGCCTGCTTCATGGGCATTTTCTCCATCGATATGGCCCATTATTATACCGCAAAGCCAGAGGTGAGCGCAAGAATCAATCGGAAAAAATCGGCGTGAATTTCCAGACATACACCAGGGTTTATCCCCCCGATCAGCCGAATTTCCCGGGGTACGCCAATCTGCCGCTTCAGCCCCTGCCCGCCGACCCGTCTGCCATCTACCGTTAGCCGGCGGCTTTTTCAGTTTTCGGGAAAACCTTTTTCTTGCTGGGGGCTGCACTCGTTAGCGCTCCCCCACCCCCAGGCGCCCCGAAGTCGTTTTTGCCCTTTTGATGAGTTTTTGTGAAGAGAAGGCATTATTATGAGGCTAAAAAGGCATTTGTATCTTTAATTAAAAAGTTTTAATTTTTAAAAGGTTGTTTTAAATGTAAATCGCGCCTTAAAATTAATAATATTATACATTTACACGTAAGTAATTACTGCCATAGATTGCTAAAAACCAGAAGCAGCTCTCTCTTATTTTAGTTCTAATTGCAATATTGCTGTCTTTGAAAATAATTACTTTTACTGTGGTTTTTAGCTTGTTTTTTTTTTTGACTGTTTCTTATCAATTTCCCACCCCCACCAAGCATTTTTGATCCTGATCTCAAAACCCATCCCCCAATTCAATCCACGTGTCTATTTGTGTGTCCAAGTTTGCATGCAATAATTTACTCCACGCATTTTCACCTTCCGGTAATAAATACATGAGCGGGCGCTTAGACGCGACGGCGGCGGTGGTGGTGGTTGCGCTTGACGTGCTTCTTGGTGGCGTGCGAGCCCTCGGGGCAGTCGCAGTACTCTCCGTCGGCTCCAGGGGCTCCGAGAAGTCCTTGCTGAAAAGGGGGGAATTTAGGAAATTATGAAAAATTGTAGTTCTCCAATGCTTATTTGCAAAAACGGGAAAGAAGAAGCAAACGAAAACACTTACGTGTCCGCGGGGTCCATCGTGACCGGCAAGTCCGTCCTTTCCGGGGAATCCGGTAGGTCCAGCGGGTCCCTGCTCTCCATCGGGGCCGTTGTCTCCGGCACGTCCGGGCTCTCCAATGCATCCGGTGAGACCGGGACGTCCAGGCAGACCGGGGGCTCCCTTTCCAGTGACAGCATCTTGTCCAGGGGGTCCGTCGATGCCGTTCTGTCCGTCGAATCCGGGCTCTCCCTGGTCTCCGATGGTTCCCTGGGGTCCAGTCTCTCCGTCTTGTCCAGCGGGTCCCTGCTTGCCAGGCTCGCCAGGGGCTCCAGCCAATCCCTCGAGTCCAGGAAGTCCAGGCTCGCCAGGGGGTCCGGCCGGGCACTCGATGCAGCCCTGCAAATTTTGGATAAGGGCATTCCTATTTTGGGACTTACGTGGGGCTCGAACTCGGGCGCCGGTGGGACGAGGGCGGGCTCTCCAGGATGTCCGACATCTCCGTCGGGTCCGACCTCTCCAGAGGCTCCAGGGAGTCCAGGAGGTCCGGGGGGACCGGCGGGGCATCCAGCGCGCTGCACTCCACAACCTGAAACAAAACAATGCTCAAAACATTCTCTCTAGAAGGGCTACCAATTGTAACTGAAACTTACGGCACTGCTGGGAGCTCCTCTTGTGTCGTCCGAACACCTCCTCAGCATACTCACGCAGCTGGTTGGGGTTCTTTCCGCGCTGCATCATCAGAATATCGCCCCAGGTGTCCTCGGAGATTCCCTAACAGATTTGCGATTACCTTGTCTCTTGCCGTTGAACTTACTCGGAAAGAGCCCATGTCGCGCATGATGTCGTCGTACATGTCATTGATATCGCGGTAGATGATGGCTCCGGCCCACAGGCACGCCACCACGACGAACATTGAGCATGCCGCTCCGAAGGTTATGGCCGCCTTGACCATGGCTCTTTTACTGAAAAGAAATTCTTAATTAGCCCGGGGTGGGGAATGATGACTGAAAACGTCGACGACAAAACCCTGCGTTCCGACCCCCAAGGGGCTTTTTATAGTCGCGGGCTCATACCCAATACGATCCGGCAGAAAATCAGCCGCGCGCCGCCAAAAAACCCTAGAGGGCAGGGCGAAAAAGGAACGTGTTTTCTCTTGCCCTCCCAACCGACGAAGCACAATGGCTAATTGGGCTCGACAAGAGTTACTAAAAAACTAAACCGTAAGCTTCGTGTTTGTAATGAAAATTCCATAAGCCCCAATTCCCTCGTTCTTGTTGCTAATCCATATGCGCTAGTTACATCGACTGCATAGCAATAACAATTTATTCAAGAAACAAGCCAAAACAAAAATTAATTCTTAGCCAAGAAATCATGGAATCGTTGGTAGGGCGTCTTGTCCAGTTCCTGCTCCTTCCAGAGGTCGGGGGTAAGGTAGGAGTACGTCCTTTGGATGGCGTAGTAGGTGGCTTTCGCGAAGTTGCCCAGGGTGGCCGTCGTTCCGGTGGCGCAGGTGTAGCAATCGTCAACACCGGCCATTTGGAGGAGCTTCTTGGGGACGGGCGCGGAAACGATGCCGGTTCCACGGGGGGCAGGGACGAGTCGGACAAGGACGGAGCCGCACTTGCCGGTGACTTTGCAGGGGACGGTATGGGGGGTTCCGAGCTTGTTGCCCCAGTAGCCTCGTCGTACAGGGATGACGGCGAGCTTGGCGGCAATGATGGCTCCGCGGATGGCGGTGGCGACTTCCTTCGAGCACTTGACTCCGAGTCCAACGTGGCCCTTCTGGTCTCCAATTGCGACGAACGCCTTGAAGCGGGTGCGCTGACCGGCACTAAACGGCAGAGGTTGCGAGAGCAATGAGGTAATCAGGGACAAAATAACAAAACGTACCGAGTCTGCTTCTGGACAGGCATAATCTTCAGCACTTCATCCTTGAGGCTGGGGCACAGGGCATCAATGATCTCGAACTCCTTGATCGGCAGGGAATGGAGATAGATCTCTTCGAGGGTGGTGATCTTGCGGTCCTTGACGAGACGGCCGAGCTTGGTGACGGGCACCCATTCCTTCTCGTCCTTGCCTCCGCGGCCGCCACCACTGAAAAAAAGATAATTGTTGAGCACGCAGAGACGAGCAATACAATTGGTAAAAACAAAACACGCTTTCAATAACGAACCGTCCACGGCCACCACGGCCTCCGCGTCCGCCACGTCCACCGCGGCCTCCACGGTCACCTCCGGGGCCACCTCCACGGCCTCCAGCGGCTCCGCCGCGTCCGCCACGATCGCCGCTACCAAATCCTCCACGGAATCCACCTCGATCAGCCATAGTGCTGTACCTCAAGCAGAATACTGAAAAACCGAATTTCCAAAAAAATTTGATGCCGCTGCATCAAGAACGAGTAGAAACAACAAGGGAAAGAGTATAACGGAAACGCAGAGGCTAGAGAGCTAAAAACCTTATTTTTGTTCGATTAGTAGCAACAAAACAGAAGCACGTGGTCGGAAATTTGACCAAAGGATTTATTCAACGCGCGAGAACAACGAGGGAAAAGGCCCGGGCAGCAAACTACGGTAGGAAATTGGCGGGTCGTGTCGGGACCCGTTGGTTGTATGCTGTCGTACTCAAGGCGCCGAATTATATGGCGTACACCAAAAATTCCCTTGTTTTTGCAAAAAACATAATAATTCTGGAATATTTATAGAAAAATAGAAAAAATTATCCTCAATCATTTATAGAAAATGACGATTGAGCAAGGTGAAGCAGCGGAAGAAGAAGTCCCATCACCCGGAGAATTCTTTGCCGAGTACGTTTAACTGGAAACCATAACGTTGCTGATTTCAGGCCGGAAAAATGGGGAGCAATCTTCAAAGAAACTCTTCCCGGTCGCACATGTTGATACTAGCAAATTGAAGGTAATTCATTGGTTTGGTTTGTGAAATCCTTTTCAGTCGCGTGACGATGATTTGCCGGCCAACCTGATCCAGAGCCATTCGGAAGCCCAGTGGCAAGCTATTGCCCATTCAACAAAGCAGCTGGCCAAGGATTTCAAGAAATTTTCGGTATGTCTATGCTCGAGAATCTTTATATTTTTAGTATCTTCTTGATGCGAAAATTCAAGCGAAAACAGGCGGACCTACGATTGGGGAGGTAAGATCCGTTGAACAACCACCAACATGTTTTAAGTCATCGGATGGACAGGAATCTGACGAAGAGGATGTGGACGATGAGGGGGCCGACGAAATGTCCGAAAATGATGAGGAAGAAGACGGGAGCGAGGGGGAAATGGAAGACGAAGAGGAAGAAGCCGATCTTTTCAATATGAAGTGCGTTCACTTTTTTATGTTGATCTTTGTTAAGAATAGGCATAGTAAATTTTTGTTTACAGAGAGGCCGATTTGGAAAACCTCGATGAGCAATTGAAAGCCCTTGATTCTGACGTCGATGAAGACGCAATCCCGACGAAGACCACGAAATCTGTGAAATACCGCAAAACGCCGGTCGACGACAAATTTTTCTCGCTGCGTCGCATGGAGGCTGACATTGACGAATTAGAAAATATGGCTCTCGATGATGATTTCGGACTCGGGGTATGTATGAGGCGCTTGAAAATAACCAATTTCAGGATATCGATGACGAATCGGCACGAGAACGCTACAATTACAAGGATTTCTTCGACGACCCGGACGATGCTGCCCCAGTTCCTTCGGAAAAGCGAGGAAAAAAGAGAAAGAATGTTGCAGATGAGGTTGAAAAGTGAGTTATTCCGGGGCTATGTAATTTCGTATTTAGGCCGAAGAAGAAGAAAACGGTCAGATGGGATGATGACCAAGGGGAGGACGAGGAAGAAGATGAAGATGTGGAAGATGAGGCCGATGGAGGAGACGAAGAAATTGAGGATGAGGAGAACGACGATCAGCCGGTGCTGTTCGGACAAGGATCAACAGAAACTGGAGAAGAAGAGACCGGGTTAGCGCAGAGGATGAAAAAGGTTTGCTTCTTACGAGGTTATCTGATTGTGATTTAGATCAAAGCTCGGATCGAAAAGCTGGAAACCGAAAACTTGGCTCCCCGATCATGGGAACTGCAAGGAGAAGTCGCGGCCAAGGGACGAGAAGAGGATGCCCTCTTGCAACAACACATCCAATTTGAGGCCACAAATAAACGACGTGAGTGTTTCTCGACATATTTATTCGTAATTTCTAGCGCCCGAGGTGACGGAAGACTTTGACGCCAAGCTTGCCGGAATCATTCGTCAGCGAATCAAGGACAACGTTTGGGACGATCCGCAACGTAAAATCAAGGTAGGCTTGATTTTCCATTTACACCTTGTAATTTTTAGAAAACCGAGACCACCGAGCCATATCGTAACGAACGGATAGAAGACCGACAACAGATCAAGCAATCTCTAGCTGAAGTCTACGAAAAGGAATATCAGAAAAATTCTGGGGTAAGTTTTTGCTTTATGTCCATTATACACGTCCATTTAGCAAGTTGTCGAAGAAACAAAAACTGACCCTCTGCACGAAGAAATTGATGGGCTGGTTCGATCGTTGTTCCTGAATTTGGACGCACTGTATCACTACGAATTTGCGCCGCCATCGGTGGGTTCTTTGAGTGTCTGGCCACCCCCTGGCGCACCCACACGTATGGCTCAGTCGGCAGGGTGGCGGCCTATGGGGCGGAGGGTCACGGGTTCGACCCCCACCCACGTCACCAGTCGAGTTCTGCAGTCGTATCTCGCATCGGGAACCAATTGCCCGCTGTGTCGTAGTACTGCAAAAATAGACGGCATCTTGCAACTGGTCTCGGCTAGCATGGTCTTGGTCATACAATTTGATGACTACATTTTTTATCAACATTTGTTCATTTTTTATCAACGTGCTGGTTTGTTAGCGGGGGGGGGGGTTTCCTTTTTTGAGCTTAACCTCTGTTTATCATTATAATATAGATCAGTTTTATATAGACAGCGATTTCCGATTATCAAAAAGTAACAATAATATTTTTTTGAAAATTTAAGATTTAAAAGTTTTGATGTTTTTTATCATTTTTTTTATAGCTAATAAGCGTTTAAAATACATAAAATTGCTTTTATTCCACCATAAGCCACCCACGGAATTTACGACATTTAACCCCTCCCCCCCGCTAACGAACCAGATCCCATTTTTGGTCACATGGAGCCGGCTAATGATAATAATCCCTTTTAGCTCAAGCCTGAACTGAAGATTGTTTCCAATATGGCGGCGCTCAAGGTTGAAGAGGTACACAGTTTTAGTTTATCTTTTCTATTAATATTTTTCAAGGTCGGCATGATGGCTTCGACTGATGAGCAACTACTGGCCCCAGAGGAGACACAAAAACATCATAAGGGCGACATCAAGGTCTTTATTCTCAGCTAATTGATGTTTATAAAATATTTTCAGGCCGATGAAGAGCGTACAAAGACGGACAAGCTACGTGCGAGGAGAAAGAAGAAGAACCGCCAACAGTAAGTTTTAGGGGGATTTTTCTAACTCTCTTTTTAGTGTCATGGCCACGCGTGTTCTTGGGAAAGATGGTGGCAAGATTGGCGCTGGTGATGCTCCCAAAAAGGAAAGAACCGCTCAGGTTTGGCGTAATATATTTCTTTCTTCAACTTTTTTTAGAAAACACATAAAGCCAAGGAATTCATGCAGCAACTCAACGAGACGGTGCGAGCTGAGATTGAGAAAAAGTCGACGAAAGCCGACAAAATCGCTAAAGCCAAAAAGGTATAGTTTCTGCTTACAAGTTGAAGATGCAATTTTAGCTGCACGGCGTCTCGAACAAGTTCATGCTATGAAGCTCCCGCACCGATGTTTTCCCATCCGCCTCACGGGTTCGCGACAAAATATGCGCGGTCTTGTCTAGTACATTTTACTGTTACGCTCTTAGTTTGTTGTTGAAGTTCTTGTTACGATTGTTCTTGTTTTGTTATGTTTTGACTGTTTTCGAATAAAGTTTTATTAATTCGGAGGACAGGCAGGTTAAAATGCGTTGGCAACAGTTTAATATATCTGCGGAGTGGTGGTTTATTATGTGAGAATTTCGATTAATGAAAAAACTAAGCCCTTTCTTAGGAGATGCGATTATCACTTGTGCAGCGAATAGCGTCATCGAGTTCTTGGATGAGCAATAAGACCGGGTTTGGACCCAACCGTCTCTACAAGAAGGGCGTCCATTTCGTTGGAACCGAGCCGGCCGAGTTGAAATATCATCAGGTATCGCCTTAACCTTATTTGAAACTAGTAAAAAATATTTAGCTTCAAGACAAGAAACCCGGCGAAAATTATGGTCTGCAGGGAACCAATCATCAGCTTCCCGGTGTTGGAAAGGTATGCGATTCCCCTAATGCATAAAATTGCTTTCAGATCCACAGTAAGCTCCCCACGAAGGTCCACATGAAGAAGGACAAGGTCTACGCATGGTGCAGTTGCGGCTACAGCGGGACTCAGGTTTTTACTGCCTTTTTTTTATTCTTTATTGCCATTTTCAGCCACTCTGCGACGGTACTCACAACATGACCCACACGCCGAAAACAAACCTCAAGCCAGTGCGATTTATACCAGATCGGGTAGGCTTCAAACAGCTTTCAGAAGGCTGTTTTCAGGATATGACTGTGTGGCTGTGCAACTGTAAGCAAACCAAGAATCGACCGTTCTGTGATGGTTCGCATAAAAATATCAAGGATGACGACAAGTTGGCCGGGCTTTTTGATTGAAGCCGCCATTTCGCTGAATCTCGTGCTATGGTTTTCTCAATCGTTTAGGGCAGAAATAGTGCTTGTACATTTCTTGTTTTCGTCCCCGTCTTTACCGGGTAAATGTTTTCTGAACAACGTGGTCAATTCGAAGAAACCTGTGTGCAGTACAGTCTTTATCCGACCCCCAAAATAATACAGAGAACACGATGATCACTAAACAAACCAGCATCTCGACCAATCAAAAAAAAAAACGTTGGTAATCACATTGAGCAGATCGAAAATGCAGGCGTATCTACTATGGCAAGTAACTCTAATTGTTCATTGTTATCTATTTCGCCTTCACAAAGCCGAGTTCCTTCAACTTGTTGATGAGGGCGGGCACGTCCTCGACAAAACCGCCAGCCTGACGAACGGGTGGCTCGGTAACCTATAAGAAAAAAGTCAAGCCAATTTCTTGGACGAATACCTCCAAGATCTTGGTCTGAGGGGTGAGATCAACGCCCAAATCCTTCGGGGTCACCTTCTCGAGAGGTTTCTTCTTGGCCTGAAATTGAGACAGTGAACACTAGAGTATTATTAGCACCTTCATGATGTTAGGCAGCGTCGCGTAACGGGGCTCGTTGAGGCGGAGATCGGCCGAGATCACTGCAGGCAGTTTTACCTGAATAAGAAATCTACGCAGCTCAATTCAATTACCTTGACCGTATCCAAACCACCGTCAATTTCACGGGTCACTTTCAAGAACCCGGAACCGCCGTCTTCCACCTAGAAAAACGGATGGATTGTTGAAAACCGACTGAATGATCGATAACGCACATTTATATGTCGACAAAAAGTACCTTGCTAGCATACAGAGCCTGGGGCCAATCCAGCAAGCCGGCAACGAGAGGGGCTGTCTGGGCAGCGTCATCATCAATGGCCTAAAGAGGTTGATTAGTACTCTCGATAAAGACAAAGAAAATCCTATTAGAAATTATAGATACCTGCTTTCCACAGAAAACAACGTCGAATTTCTCCTTCTCCACTAGCTTCTTGATCACCTGCGCCACATGGATCGGCTCGAACTATTCAAATTTCGATAGGCAATTCCAAAAGTTTCTTACGGCGTCTTTATCACCAATCTCGACGTGGATGGCCTTGTCGGCGCCCTTGGCTAGCGATGTTCGGAGCACCTCTTGAGATTTAGCAGGTCCCATCGAGAAAACGACCACCTGAAACAACGCAAATTATTGGGCCACCAGGTCCGACTGGCCTCCTTTGCGACATTTTTCTCCTTGAGCTTGACGGCCTCCTCAAGGGCAATTTCGTCGAAAGGGTTCATGGAGTGCTGCACATTCTCCGTCACCACCCCAGTCTTATCCGGCTTGACACGAACCTAGAAAACGCTAGTTTGCTGAATCTCTACGAACAGCCAAATCATCGTAACGGTAAACACACTTTGACGGCATAGTCGACGACCCGTTTAACACCGACCAAAATCCTCATCTGCCTAAAAGGAGTGCAAGTGAGATTTGCCATTACCAAAAGTTAGCAATATGCGTGGGGGAAAGCCAAGTCCGATGCGGATAACTCGAGAGCAAGCCAAGGTTTATTTACAGGTAATTACATTCTCCAGTGGCGATCAAATAAGTTTTGGCTGTAAATTTCAAAACCGACATTCTTTATAACAATCCCGTCAAAGGCAGGCGAAAATAAATTGAATAGGAATGCAATCAATGTGGATCTACATATTTCGAAGGGCAGCGAGTCTTTGTGTCAGCTCGTCGTTCTCGGCGACGCTTTGCGAAGAGGCCGGGAGTGATGGGGCGGCGGTCGGGATGGAGGATGGAAGTTCGGCGTTCAATTCGATGCTAAAAAATACGCGCGTTATGGCATAGAAAACAATACTGGAAAAAAGGCGCGGAAAAATGCTTACCCAGCCTTGTCGGCAGCTTCCTGGATAAGGGCATCGACTTGGCTCTTTGGGGCGTTGAGCACGGTCGTGCCGTCCATTGTTCGCTCCATGGTAGCTGTGTGGACGTCAAGGTTTTCGAAGTCACGCTCGAAGCGGTCCATCAACGATTGCACCTAAAGAAGCTATTTAAAATACATGAAGAACTATTTACCTTCTCGAGATTCATACTCTTCATCGCGCTTTCCATAGCTTTCACCACTCCCTGCATACTTGCAGTGACACGCTTTTGAGTTGCAGCAGTTTGGACTCGTGCGGCGACAGCATCGATCCTGATAAAGATATGCGTCAACGTTGAAAATTTTACCTTGCTGCCATACGAATGTAATTCAATGCCTCGTTCTTCTTACGGATCGCGTTCTCGGCATGCACTTGGGCCACTTCGCGATTCCCTTTCTAAAAGCAAGCAAAACAATGAGGAAAAACGCTTGAATCAACCTTGATAGACGCAGCTAGCTTGTCCTTCTCAACCTTTTCCTGCTTCTCGCATCGCTGTGCGCTCTTCTCAAGTTGCTTTGCGGCAAATTTAAGCTCAAATAGATGCTCTAAAAATCTTATAAAAGCGCTTATAAAAGATTCTTACTGTCAAGAGACATCGTCGATTCTCCGGCGCCCAGTCTCGTAGATAAATGGTCGCACTCGACGACGATTGACTGAAAAGAAGTTGGGTAAATAGGAAAAACTCCGAAGACCGCGCCAATGAGAGTGTTGATAAAAAACAATAATTGATAAGGATATTCTGAAAGAATTCTGGGACCAATGATGAAAAATGAAGAAAGGACTTCACAAAAATCTAGCCACAAGTGCAAGAAAATGCTGGCGAGCTCAAGACTACCTACGCGTTTCGCAAGATGGTCATATCAAGCATTTGATGAATCACCTCCCCCTCTTTCAAGGCTTATTTTTGTGTCGTTGTGGAGGGTCGGCGTCAAGGGGAAGACGCAGAGGAAGGGTACTGGCGTGCTTGGGGGTTCGGGGGGAGTAACTGATTGGATGGATGGCCGTGGCCCAGCTGGTTTGTCTGGCGTTAGCAGGGCCGAGAATTCGGTTTACACGTTTTTTGGGTCCAAGTTTGTACTGCTAAAACCATGAAAGAACCAATAACAACAAAAAGAAACTAATAAAAATAATTTTGTGAATCGGCTGGTTTTTTTGTTTCCGAAGAATACTCTGTGCCTCGCGTATTCTGTAATTTGAAATGATTTGTATCAAAAACGCTTGTGAATTTTGTAATTTGTAATATTCGTACCCTAAACAATTGAGATTTTTCAGCAAGTGACGCGCTCAATCGATGTATGATGAGAGCGAAGACAGCGATGAGTACGCCTCTTCCGCTTCTTCATCGAGATACCGAGGGAATTACAGAAGAAGGCCCAACTACAACCCCAATCCACATCTCGTAACCATTGTCAAGTCAAAAACAGGTGTGTCTCGCTCTCGGCTTTTCTACAAAGTAGGCTTTTCCCTTTTAGGCTTTGGCTTCAATGTCAAAGGCCAAGTTTCCGAGGGCGGACAGCTGCGAAGTTTCAATGGAGAATTGTATGCACCCCTCCAACATGTAAGCTAATTTAATATTTTTATGAGCTATCCATTTAGGTGAGCGCCGTTTTGCCAGGCGGAGCAGCCGAGAAGGCCACTTTGCGAAAAGGAGATCGTATACTGGAAGTGTAAGAGAATCGTTTTTTTTGGAAAATGTCATTTTAGAAATGGCGTGAACGTTGAGGGCGCAACCCACAAGCAAGTTGTTGAATTGATAAAACATGGCGGCGACCAGTTGAAAATGGTGGTGATGAGCGTGCCGGATTCCGAAGCTAATAGGTATCTTTGGGCTAAACGCTGTGATGTGCTCTTCAGATATGAAAACGGAGAAGAGAGCTCTATCAATTTCCGCCACGACTATTCGGATAGTAGAAGTCTGCCAGTCTCCATCCCCACCTATCATGCCATCTCTGCCAAAGAAGCCAAATTCATTGTGGGTATTTCTCCTTCCTGTTTGAGATCGGTTCCAGGTTTTCGATATTCACATGGCCGGGCGGCACCTTGGTTCCCGGCGATATAGCGAATTCGTTGAGCTCCACAATCTTTTGAAGGTACGCACGGCTGGCATTTGTAATACACGAATTTCAGAGAGAATTTTGTGACTTTTCTTTTCCAAAACTGCCGGGCAAATGGCCTTTCGGGATGAATGATCAACAGTTGGATACCAGGCGGAGGTACTTGTTTTCCGGAAAATTAATGTTTTTCTTTTAGGGGCCTCGAGCTTTATTTGGAGAAGATATGTTCGGTTCGTGTTATCGCTGATTCAGAGATTATGCAGGTACGGGAACCTTTAGTGAAATGAATTCCGAATTTGCAGGACTTCCTGATGGATTGCGACGCCATTTGTGAAGTTGATATTCGGGTTTTGCTGCCAGACGGAAAGCCAATTTCTTTTAGCTGCGGTAGGTGTTTTTTGTTTTGAAAATGCGCTATTTTTAGAGAGGACCGCGTTGACCCCTGCGGTGTACGGTTTGGTGCAAAATAATGTCTTGATGTCGCGTGAGACAGCGTCCGTCTGCGCTATCTACGAAAATATTGATCCAAATTTTGGTAACTTGGCTTGTTCACCCTGAACCTCGGATTTTAGAAAGAAAAGTTGGCGAGGATGAGATGCCCCATTCCCTTTATATACAAAATTACTCCTCGGCGTCATCCTCATGCTTGGTAATACGAAAGGTAATTTCAAGCAGCTCCTGGTTTTTTTATTGCTTTTTAGTGGATATTTGACATTGAATGGGAACGTGAGCTCTGCCAGGCCGACCCACTTTTCCGGAAAATTGTCTACCATCAAACGATCAATGATATTAATCAGGTATCACGCTCATTAAATCAAAAATATGATCTCCAGGGCCGGATCCGACCTGACCACAAAATGTACCAATTGAAAGCGCTGCAAAGTGAGGACCGGGCCGAGCAGTATCTAGAAATGGCTAGGACACTGTCTGGATATTCAAGCGTAACCTTTCCACCCTGCCATTGTGACTGCCGATCTGCCGGAGAGGTAAAGAAAACAGAAAAATTGGATAATCTTTTTAGATTCTGCTGAATTTGTCGTTTGAAGGTGTGATAATTTCGGCATGGCCTGAAGAAACCGAGGTACTGGTTTACTGTACTTCGATTCAGATGTACAAATGTTGCTTAGGAACCAATGATGATCGACTGGCAATCAATTGCTGGCTATCGTAGCGGCGGCACTGAACAATGGTTCGCTTTCGAGCACATCCGGCCCGGCAGAAAGAACAAGATCGTCAAGATGTACACACCTTTTGTAAGCGAAGGGAATTACAGATTATAGTTCTCCATTTTTTTTAGTGCGATTACATGTCGGCCTGCTTTGCACGCATCCGCGTCGAACGTGATCTGGCCGCAAAACGCCGCACCCACATTGAAGAGAACTCCCCTTCCAAATCCTCAGAGCCGAAACAAGAAAAACGAAAAGCCGACATTCTCGACGAGTTGTAAAGTGTATCTAGTCATTAACAATCTTGTAACTAGTTTCCACCCCCTTGCCCCCACAGGTAGCCCACCAGAACCGCGTGTTACTTTGCCAAATTTTTATTATGTCAATCAATGTACTGTGCCACGATAATTTTATTACAATGCTATGCCGTGTTTTATTAGCTACACACTCTTCCTGAATGCTTCTCCGCGCATAACACCCACATTGGCTTTACTGTCACCCCCGCGACTTTTTTCAGCTTCACTTTGCGATTCCCATGATTGGCGCTATTTCCGTTGCAACATTCCCACGCCCAGCACTTGATTAGCTCCCCCGCTTTTTTCGTGATATAAAGCCTAGCATAGCATTGCCCAGAATAATAAAGAATCTGATTGACCTGTCGTTTTTCGGATGCAACGTCATCGACGTTTTGTTACTTTTGACGCTACTACTCGCTAGAAAGCGCATAACATGCATTTAGTGATGGAGCCGTCTAGTAGTAGTGCGTGCAATTCACCAAGTGCCACTCCATTCACCGATTATGGCGCGGACCCGAACTCGAAAAAACGGATTGCTAGGGTATAATTTGAAGACGAATTTAGTGGACAAATCTTCTAGGTACATAAGAAAAACACTCGAGGGGAGACGCCACTCCACCTGGCAGCTCGCAAGGGTGACACTGAAGCCTGCTCGCGTATGCTTGATGAGGCAACGGAGGCGGATTGGGTCAACGTAGCCGATTATGCCGGATGGACCGCCCTCCATGAAGCCTGTGTACAAAGCCGCTTCGAAACGGCTGAAATGTTGATACGGTATGACCAGTGGTGATGTCACATCTTTGTTATAGACGAGGGGCGAATGTAAATCAATCTTCACTCGAGGAATTGACGACCCCACTTCACGATGCAGCCGGATCTGGCCACACCTCGGTAATTCCTTATTCGAATCTCTGTTTTACTCGTCAGATCGTGTGGCTGCTATTGAAAAATGGGGCCGAGCGCAACGTCCAGGATTCGAGGGGTAAACTGCCGATACATTTGGCCCGCGAGGGGTCTCTCGTCGAAAAAATGCTGCGGTTAGTCTTGCTATTAGATCCTGAAATGTCCAATATTCTAGAAGTGCCGAACTGCCGGCCACCTGTCCCAAAGACGAGTCCCGACTTGTTGAAGAAGATGAAGGTAATAACGTTGAGACTCTCAAGGATTACACGTGCACAGATACAAGTGACGCCCCTGCTGAACCGAGCTGCATGGAAAATGTATTTCCACTCAGCATGCCGCGGGTAGAGCCAGGCCAAGCTTTTGCGTAGGTTTTACAAAATCCATTTCTTTTTGGGAAAAGATGGAGGCTTCTAGAGAAGAGATTTTAGCCCCACTGCATCGACAGTGACGGGATCGATCACCCAGGCTGATGTGCCCATTATCCCCATGGAGAATCTTCACGCCTCGATGACGGCGCCCCCTCAGCCAGCGCAAGGTTCGGGAAATACATTTCATCGATACATATTTCAAAGGAATGCTAAAACCTTAAAATACGCCGACCAAATTATAAAAATGTAGTTTAATATTGGCTCCCCGCTAATCCGCTGGATGTATCCCCTTTTGGGATAAGTGGCCTTAATCCCCACCGTGCCCATCCCCCCATGAGATGATTTGGCGCCGAGAAAATAGAGAATTTAGTTGCCGCACCGGCTCCAATGCCGCAAAAACCGTTCCCATCATTGATCGCTGCCGAATATGACGATGATGACGAAGAGGAAAGCCGTCTGCTGATCGAAGAAAATGATGAGGACGAGAAGGAGATGGCTGAGACGGCAACTGCTGCAGATGGTGGTGAGGAGCAGCAGATCAATATGGACATGGAGGACCGGCCAGAGACGGGAATGAGCAAACGTATGTTTGATAAACACAAATTTTCGATGGTAATATCTAGAAAGCGCCGATCCGGGGGATGAAAGTCGAATGGAGGAGCCGGAGCAGTAAGTGCTTCTCTTACTTTGTGAAATATTTCTTATAGAATGGATACCGCAGAAAGCGACCGAGTCAAAGAGAAGAAACTCCATCGGGTCGCCCGGCAAAAGGGTAACTTTTGCGTTGATAATCTAAACAAAAATTTTTAGCCTCTCGTACATCGACACCGGTGCCCGGCTCCAGTTCGAAGGATGGAGAGCGCAAGCGTGGCACAGGGTTCGCTCTAACAGTTTTATTTCAAGAAAAAATTAGAAGAGGCCGAGGCAGGGGTGGTAGGAGAAGCGCTCGAGGAGGATCGTGTGCCTCATCTCCGCGAGCTTCTAGGGGCGGCGAACAGGACATTTACGAGTTCAAGGATAGTCCGGAAAGTCAAGAGGTAGTCAAGTAGCTTGGCTTAGAAAAAGGAAAACTTTATAATCGGAGCAATTACTTGATACAAAATTAGTATAATGTTCTAAAAATAACTAAATAGGGCCTTTTTCATCGCTAGCGTAATTAAACAGGTGTTTATCATTGAATAGTGGCACACATGTGTTATTAATGTGGCTATTGCTCCTATCAGGCAGACGTTACGTAAAATAGCAATATTGCCGAAACAACCATTCTCACCCTGAAATGTGGCTCATTTGCTCCTATCACAAAGTAACCGGAACTATGGTGGTTCAGGATCCGCGTGATCGCGAATCTTCTGCCCCTCCAACCTGGAAACGAATGCGGCTTGACGACGAAGCGAGTGGCGGAAGTAACGGTTTGTACAATTCTCCAGTATCTCATCAAAAGTATACCTTTAGGCAGCGGCTCTTCCCCGACACATAACAATGGTCAACAAGTGCCGGTACTGCGAATCACACTGAATAAAGGCTCGGATGACGAGGCCACAAATGATGCGCCCGAGACTCAGTACCTAATGACGAATAGGTATTGATAAACTTGGATTTTCAGTTTATTTGGTTTAGGAATCGCGTGCAAAGTTTGCGAGGCGGGAAGACGGGCTACAAGCGCACCGCGCCATCTACGCGAGAAGGGACACCGGCCATTGATGAAGAAAGTCAAAGCCGGATGACGAGGAGCCGGGTGAGCGAAGAGTCTATCGTAGAAGTTAGAATTTTTTTTTGCGTTGAGGGGCAGTACGGTGTGGCGAATAGGATGGTTAGGAAATGTCGCAAGATGCTAGTAATCCACATAGTTGTACCGTATTTCCTCTAATATAGCCCCCGCCCTCCTCTAATATACCCCCAACATTTTTTCCAAAGTTGCCTCTAAGAAGTAAAAAAAATCACAATCGTTTTTGTGTGAGCATCATACTGCATGCCTGAATTATTGTGAGCAGTTTGAACTGCTAGAAATCGTTGTAATTGTTCAAAATCACGAAAAATATATCCCTCCCTCTCACGCCCAGAAATAGCGGCAATAAGGGCCTAAGCAACGCGACGCTCCATTCGTCAAGAAAATGTATGGGGCCCTAATTTCGAAGCCTTATAACTTCAAAACTAAAGGGAATCTTAAAAAAGTCGATTTCCAACTTTGTAGAATGGGACACGGCGATTCTAATGATACCAAGAACTAAGAAAACTGAATTCAAAAAGTATCGAAACGAAGGCGATTTTTATTTCGTTTGAATTTGGGGGGATTTGCCGGGCTTTGCAGGGTCGTTTGTATTGGTGTGTAGCGAACGGCCCTGGGAATGAGATAGCCTATTGAAAACTTAAAATGCTTATAAAAATCTGCTGCTTCATTGTTAAGACATGTCCAGTATACCAAAAAATTCTCCTTTTTTCGGGCTACAAAACGAACGACCGTTCAGGATGCCTATATGCCAAATCGCTGAGAAAATTACGCAAAAAGTCGAGCCACCTATCCTTTAGTCACAAACTGTAGTAAGAAAGTAAAAGGAAACGCCTGGTAGTGATTCTATCGCCAAATTATATTTTATTTAACTTATCTTTTACATTTGCCTGTTCGATTACCCAACTAAAAGATTCGAACCCAATGTTGCTTGCCGTTGTGGTACGTACGTGCCGTGTAGCGCCCCGTAGCCTTCCGCCTCAAATTGCCGAAAATCTATGCATTTGAATGGGCGTGCTCTAATACAACCCCCTCCCCTGACTAGGGAATGGTCTCCACTCGACATCGAATTTCTTGTTGCAAGTTAGCTCATTTTGTAGATCTCGACGAGACGAATCGATTGATGTAACTTTTAGCTGCGGATACCTTATTTTAACAAAGTTACAGCCCTTTAAAATTTCTGACCTACCTTCATAAGCCCTCCCCGCATCCCCTTCACCGTGGCCTGCTGGCCTAGTGGCGTAGTAGTCGGCCTCTGGGGAATCTAACGAGGGTTCGAATCCGCCCACGATTTTTATTTTTTGCTTTTTGGTCCAAACGTTCCTTTTTGCATTCTCAGAACCTAGACAAACTCTTTTTTTTATTATTTAACCTCCGCGAAGATTTTAGAACGATAAAAAGAGCATCGGAAAGTTCTGGGGCGGAGACACAACCCACATCATGCCCATACCTTGGAAATTAGTTGTTTGCAACATTCAAATACCTTGTATTCGCCGGGGTGCGTTAGTATTTACTAGGGAATAAAATATACAAAATTTCAAATTTTATCAATTTTTTTTGGGGAGCATGACCAGTCCTTCGGGCAAAAAAATTGTAAAGTTTTTTCCGATGCTCTTTTTATCGTTCTAAAATCTTCACGGAGGTTAAATAATCAAAAAAGAGTTTGTCTAGGTCTTGAGAATGCAAAAAGGAACGTTTGGACCAAAAAGCAAAAAATAAAAATCGTGGGCGGATTCGAACCCTCGTTAGATTCCCCAGAGGCCGACTACTACGCCACTAGGCCAGCAGGCCACGGTGAAGGGGATGCGGGGAGGGCTTATGAAGGTAGGTCAAAAAATTTAAAGGGCTGTAACTTTGTTAAAATAAGGTATCCGCAGCTAAAAGTTACATCAATCGATTCGTCTCGTCGAGATCTACAAAATGAGCTAACTTGCAACAAGAAATTCGATGTCGAGTGGAGACCATTCCCTAGTGAGGTGTTTGAAAAATATAACCCCCGGGGTTATATTAGAGGAAATACGGTACTTATAATTTCAACATCAACGCTAATTTTGTTTGTAACAAATACGTTTCCTAATGAAATGGCTTTTAAAAACATATTTTGGTTCGAATAAGGGTCTAAAAAAGTTTTCTTTTGCCGCAATTGTCGAGCAGCCCCAAAAATTACTCGTTTCCTATACACTAGGCTTTAGCTCTTAGATTAGCAATTACGGCGTCTAATGTTTACTATTAAATAAGGTTATTTAACAATTATCACCCTGCGACATCTGCGATTTTCCGAAAAAAGTAGATAAAAGATAGTTTGTCGAAAAAAACCCGCCCGATCCGAATTGTCCCCTCATTTACCCGGCCATTCTCGCTCACCATAGAGTAAGTCGAATGCGGCGGCGAAAAGTCGGCTCCGTTCCACTCGCGCCCCGGCCCCCATCCCCTACACTGATCCGTGGGGCGACGAAGTTCGTTCTCGATATCACCACGTTTTTGTCACTTCATTCAGTGTGCTCGTGCTCACCTGGAGACTGATGCCAACACAAAAATATATTATCGAATTTCCCCCGATCAATCCGGAGCATCAGAATCCAACCTTTCCTTTCAGTGCAAAATGTGGTCCCTCTCTTCTTGGAATCTATCAGAAATTAAGAGAGAAAAGAGCGAAGCGTGTTTAACTTTGGCCTTTTAGATTCGACAATCCGGCAAAACGATCGAGGAGCCGGATTATTGGGGGAAATCTAAAAAGGTGAGGTTTTAAAGCGTTTGAGTAATCTGTGATTTTAGAAACGAAATGGTGGCGCTGATGGGAAGGAGGACGAAGATGAAGCCGAAAATGAGGAAGAAAAAGAAGGTCGGTTTTGTTGATGTTTTTATATTTGGAATTTCCGTTTAGCGAGACGTGCCCTAGGCCCCGATTATCTGGCTGAACGTGAGGAAAACCTTGGAATCAAGGCAATGCTCTACGATTCCACCAAAAGCCGGATCTTCATGAAGGAACAGGTAGTAAGATAGCCGTTTCGATATCAATTCTTTTAGCTTGTATCTCGCTGGATTGATGATTCCAATTTGGACACGGCACGCACTTTAGCCGCAGATGTATGGCAGTTTGAAGAGTTTCACCTTTTTTTGTAGAACACGATGCCACCGAACTATCCCCAATACATGCTGGCCACAAATGACCGTCAGACGGATATCACTTGGTACAAAAAGCAGTGCGAGAATCATCCGCTGGTAAAAACGCTAGACGAGCCGCTGATGAAGCTCTGGCAGATGCAGCAGGAAGAGAGGTTTTATCTACTGAATTGCTCTTGCAATGATCATATTCAAGAAACGACCTTCTCGCTAAAATAGTATGGGAATTGGCGCGAAGCCAAATGCATTATGAAAGGGAATATCTTCGCCATTATCGGAGGATGGTATGCGGGGTAAGCCATCGAAACAATTGGAAAAATCCTTTTTCATAAATAACACCGGTTCAATAAACCATTATAATTAAATAAAAAACGGCTGAGTTTAGCCGACGAGAATGACGATGTGCCGGATGCTGCGTGATCTTGAAGTGAACAAGTAAGTCGAAAAAACCTCAAAATAAACGTCGTTTTCAGTACAATGACTCTGTGCCAGCCCGGTCACCCTGAAGACGAGCCCTGCATGACGAAAGAAGACTACGAGAAAAGAATTGAAGAACCGATCCGGGAGATGTACAATAGACATCGGGTCAATGCCGTCGCCATTTCGTATCGCCAGGTTCGATTTACGTCTTTATCTGATTTTCCGGATTTAGAGAGAGCAGTTCAAGCAAGAAGCCCTCAAATTCGGCATCGATTTGTTGCCGGAATTGGCTGTGGAGCTGGCGCCGGAAGTACCGACGAGATTGCTCGAATTCTACCTGTAAATTGACACGTTGTGATAAATCTCATTGCTTAGTGCTTTCATAGATAAATATTTTTGTTATACTTGATCTTGATGTATTAATATAATTGTTGAAATTAACAATGTTATCTACTAAAAACAATAGGGTTTCTTTGCCGTTTCTATTTTCAGTAGGGTTTTCAGTCTTCATCTTCAGTATCAAAAACTTCGTTTAGAAATATAAAAATGGTGTCGGCCGAAATCGAACCGACAGCCTACGCCACAATGATCCTTCATTGCGTCAAGTACCCATCAAAAGGGGTTTCTGGACTCCTTCTTGGAAAGAAAACCGCCGGAAAGTTAGAGGTGAACGATGCTTCTTCTGCGTGAAAACATCCTTTCTCTCTAGATTTCTTCAGTTGTGCCTCTCGTCCACGAAAGCGCCCCACTTTCCCCGTCACTCGAGGTCGCATTGACATTGGTATTTCAAAATTTTCTTGGATCGTATTTTTGGTTTAGGTGAGCGCAAAAGAAGAGGTATCAATCCTCGGCGTCTACTATTCCAACCAGAGCTGTCGCGATAAGGGGTAACGCTTTTTATATAGTCCCTTAATTTTCTATAGATTGAACACACATGCCGTGAGATTGGCCGAGAAGATTGCTGCCGTTACAGATAAGCCGGCCTATGTAGCTCAGGCAAGCTCGTGTTTTTCGTCAATAAATTAGCGTTTTCTAGGTCGTGAATTGGCATCTGTCTGCCGATTGCTCATCACCATGCGTGTCGATGTACACACTTGATGGAAGCTCCTGGAAGGATATGAAGTAATACCTATCTTCAGCTTAAGTTTTAAAATTTTTTCCCAGGGTCGACGTCGAGCCATCAGCACTGTCACTCGTGTCAAATGCCTTGCAACGGAAGGTGTATCGAGAGTAGGTATTGGCAACGTAAAAGATCTTCTCTCTTTTAGATTGGTCGATTTCGAAAACCACCTCGACAACCCGGAGCTCGACTTCTACAACGCACGCCTAACCCAGATGCTAGAGGGCCAGCTTTAAAACGATGGGTGCTACGATACTTATGCCAATCTCGGATTGTGATATCAGGTAATATATTGATGCTCTCTGTCTTTGTTTCCCCCCGACCAACCGAAGGGGTTGTGCTCTGTGTTTTTTAATAAGTATAAAGTTTTTTGCCAAAATGATACGGAAAACAGCAAGACATATTTCTTAATACTATTTTACATTTAAAACTTTTCCCATACAGGGGGTTTTGTTTTTCCAAAAATCGTTTAGCATCTTCCTTAGGCTACTTTTTGAAGCTTCAAAGCGGCAATTTTGGCGGGTGGCGGATAAACCAGTTTTTTTCTCGGTTTTCGGTCATGAAAAATCAGAATTCATATTTTCTTCTTACTTACTATTCAGCTTTTTATCCATACCAAATTCGTAAAAAATCGAACAATTTTGTGCACCGAGAGAGTGGGTACTTTTTAGAGCCAACCAGCACAAATTCTCAGGCAAAATCCGTGAATTGAACCGACCGGTGGGCCCCGGCTGGCGGTGGACTCCCTTTGGTTGGTGGGTGAGACTTGAGCCATCGTCCACTCGAGTGCTCATCCACGCTTCCGAGGAGTCAACAAAAAGGGTCGAGGTCTTCTCTCCTCGTCTCGGATGGATGGATGGATGGGCCATACAGCACAGCACTGACTGACTGCACATGCACAATCCCACCACAACGCAACCTTTCCCAGCCCATCCATCTCATCCCGCGGCCCGATTGCTCTCACCACACGGCGACGATTCGCAGCCGCCGACGATCCCCCGCACTTGATCCGCGCTTCAAACTATTTTTATTCGTCTTTGCATGCTGCGACTGTCTGTCTAGACGGGTTTAAAGGGATGGACAAGCAGGGGATATGGTTTTCGGTTGGGTGCGGAGTGCTGGTTGATTTTCGGCAGGCGACAAGCAACGCGCATTTCCGTATTTTTCGTATTTTTCCCCTTGCGATCTGTCCAAACCTATAGGGTATCCATAGCTAACGAATTCGCAAACACCTTCTAAGCGTACGTTCATAAGTTGGACATATGCACCCAATGACGCAGAGAGACTATAACAAAGAGTTCGACATACGTTCATAACTGGATACGTCCAACTCCCTGAACGTGCGCTTTAAAGGGACCAGGAAAAGACGGAAAAGAATAACTTTCGCCCCTTGGTCTCGACGGCTACGCAACGCGCCAATAGGCATGACAACGCCAATGATTTTTATAAAACCTAAAGTTTCCTTTTTAGTACAACTTTAGTTTTTCATTCCCTTTTTCTTTTCGAGGGTTCAGCGCGCCAGTCTGGTGTCCAGCATCTATCGAGGCCTAGTCGCTCGAAAGGGTCGATTTTGCGACTTCAGACTTTATTTAGTATTTTGAAGCGCGCTGCGCAGCCTTAAAAATCATATTTTAGATCCATTACCTATGGTAGTGCATAACTTCCCCGAGGTCGTCGCGCTATTATTGCCAGACTTTTGATCGCCGGAAATCGGACATATGTCGGGCTGAGGAGCTCTCATCACTGCGTCCACCTCGGCCGACATCCGTTTTCCATCTGGGCCCAGGGACCAGGGGTGACTTGCAGATTGAAGGGCTCAACCAAAATTCTGTGTAGCTAAATTGCGCCTTAAGGATATATGACCGGCGTTGTTAGTGGCCGATCACATGCCTCAGTTTTATTTTGCAGTAAATTGTAAAACAGGGCGTGCCATTAGGCTGAGGAACTTCTGATAAATTTAAAAAATGGTAAACACACGCCTAGAAAATCTTTGAAATTTGAATTTTGCCCCGTGTTGACCGTTTTTCACGAATTTTCGGCCCAGGAGTAAAATGTTTTAGTGTTTTCTACGATTCTAGTTTCAAAGACGGCGATTATAAAAAACGGTTACATTATTGGACCCTCACCAGATCATAGGGGTATTTTAAAACTTGCGGTTTGCCCTTTTTTTCGCCATTTTGATAGATTTTCGACTCAAAAGTCAATTTTCTGAAATGTTTGAGATGTTTCTAGATCTTTAGTTTTTCTTATAGGTTTTTAATTTTATTTAGCCCTGGATCTCCACTCGATCACGGCCCTTTCCAGATCGATTCCCCGCCCGAGATTCACCCCATCCGGAAAATGTGGCTGACTGGCCTCCACCCTCAAGTTTATGACCCGAGGGCCCTTGTCGGGCTCACAGCTGTTCTTCTCCTCCTCCTCGGGGCTAAGGCACGAGCGGAATGTGTCCGCTTCCGCCCCTCCCTTTAGCCATCGTTTGGCTAGACCCTGTCGCTGTGGCTGCTGTTCTGTTTTGTGTTTATGTGGCTTGGGGCTGGCTGTTTGTTTTTACCACCCTCGGGGTGATTGAGTTGGTTGATGGGAAATGGGGGGTTGGGTACGATTTTTTGGGTGTTATTGTAAATTTTCGCTAATTTTCAGGTAATTGGCGCTTTTTTAGGGTTTATCGGATGTTCAGCGTCTCAAAAGAACGATAATATTGAAAGTTGAAAGAAGCATCAAGTTTTAAAACCAGCCGTCAACTTGTTGAAACCGTGATTAGCTTGTTCTTGCACCTTATTCCACCGAATTGGATGTCAGTCTAAAACAATTTTAAACCGTAAAATTATTCAACGCGCTACTGTCAGTTTTAAATCTTTAACGCTAGTTTTACTCTGTTTTAAACCATGGGGCTTTTGCATTATCGGGGCATTACGTTTTGGAATAGTGAAAAACTGGGTGGAAACAATTCCTCTCTTGCTTTTTTCCCTACCTGATAAGTCCACCTCCGGATAATGCACAGGAACCGTTTTGCACCAGTTTGTAGGGTTTTTTATAGATTTGCACAATTGGGACATTTTTTCTTCATTTATCATCAAAAACCTTTTTTCATCCACCTCTTGCTCAATATCTTCGAAATCCCCTGGGTTTTTGGGCGTCATCAGTTTCGTGTCGAGCGGGCGCGAAATTCCCATTTGCGGGCCCTGGTTATTGGTATGGCGAGGGCCCGGCGAATTGGGCCGAGTATTTCATATCCCCCTCCGCAAAGCGGATCTTCCCCGCCTTTTTCTTCTCCTTCTTCTTCTTTTTTTCGCGGATTGAGATGTATGCGACGGGGGAAATGGGTGTCGATTCATTGCAGCCTTTAATAAGTCTTTCTGCTTGTGCTTGATACCCGTCCATCATCTCGTCTCCCCCTCGTGCTCCCCCTCGTGCTCCGCTCCTTTTTTATTTGGGGGTGGGTGGGGGTGGATGATGATTAGCTCGGGGGCCCAATGGGACCCCGGCTGGGCCCTAAGCCTCCCCCTACAAGCCCATACACACCGACGAATTGAATGCCGGCATGTTTCAGCTCGAGTTGGATTAATCAAAAAGTGCAAACAGGGTTTTGGCCGCTTTTTTTGAGAGATTACTTGGTTTGCACGGTGTATAAAATCAGATATGATTAACGTAACGCTCGTAATAAAATATATATTTATTGTGTAATTCTCTATCACTTCGAAGTTCGAAACGGCCTAAATTATCCAAATTACCCGAATTTGTCAGGTTTGTTTCGCTGACGACTCCTAGCCGATGAGAGAGGTGGATTTTGTTGGGTTCCTGCTCCCTTCAAAAGAGCCGAAAAGTTTTGTTTTTGTGCCAAAAAAGTTATAGATTTTGATCAGATCGTACTCAATTCTAAACCCTTTATCCCTGACTTCAAAAAACCTTAAAATTGGGTTGAATTGATTACTCTAGGAAAATTCGGGCTTTCCCGCCCTTTAAATGGACAGACAAGTGAAGGTTATAGATTTTTATGGCTATGGATTCCTATGGATTTCAGTCTGGCCGCGATACGCGACGCTCTTGAACTCTTTGGCGCGCAGCGTATCGCGGATTCGTCCGAATCCGGATGGAATCCGTAGTCAAAAATCCACGAACGGGCCTTGCCAGTCCCTTTAAAGACACCGTAATCCAGGACAACTACGTCGTGATACACCACAGCGAGGGTTCTGGTGCGTTAGCGGGGGGGGCAAAACTACCATAGTTAGACGATTTAGGAAAACCCTATCGGCCTTCCCTGTCCCTTTAGAAGTACCGTAATCCAGGTCAACTACGCCGTGCTACTTTGCGCTTTCGAGGGTTCTGGTGCGTTAGCGGGGGGACTCACAATAGACCCCAGTAGGATTACTCGGAAAGGGAGTGGTATCGATACCCCCCGCTAATGAACCAGAACCATTCCAAGGGTCTGGCAATACATATGGGTTCAGCTGGGGTGGATATCTGGGGGTATGGCGGGAGAGTTTCCATGCGGGGTGGGGGGTGGAATTGAAAGCGGGGGATCGCATTGCCACTTTCCGAATTGCGCGTGAGCTTCGCGGGCTCGACCAGGGCCCTGTGCGCTGGTGTTGTGGCCCTTTTCTTTGTGTGTTGGAAAGGGGGGAAGGGCCCAGCCAGATCCCCCGGCAGGGCCAATCGATAGAAGCCGATAGAAGGGGAGGGGATAGACACGAAATGTGTGTCCCGGTGGAAAAGCCGAAAGGAGGGCGGATAAAGAGCAGACTCTGGGCCTCTAGAGGAGAAGCCACTGTTGCAGGAGGAGAGGAGAGAGAGAGAGAGAGAGAGAGAGAGGGAGAGAGAGAGACAGAGAGAGAGACAGAGAGAGGATATCCAGAGGGCCTTCCTTCCCTTCCTTTCCACCATTCCCTTCCACTACCCTCCTTTGCACACATCTAGGAGAGCCGAGGTGGCGATGGCCCTCCCCTTCTCCTTCCCCTTCTCCTTCTGCTTCTCTTGCTACTGCTCATACAAACACACAAAACGACTCGACTTTTCTCTCCTCCTTCCCCCCTTCTCATCCACCGCGAAAGCTCAACTCCCCCAACTCGTTGTGTTGCTCGGTGATGTACTCTGTAGCTCTCTGCGGATCTTTGGCTGTCTGGGTCTCGAACTCGAAAATTGGAAAATCGAGGCTGAAATTTTAATTTTTTTTTTGATGGGACTCTGGCCTAGGTCTAAGGCTAAAGCTAAGCCTAACCTAAACCTATGCCTAGTC